GTAGAAACAATCATTTTCTAGGTTATGTAACGAATCAAGGAAAGTTTTTGTGGATAATTCGCAATCTAGCAAATTAATTTTTGTTCAATTGACAGAATTAGGCATTTTCATACAATCCGGAATTATCGGAAGCCGGATTATCGGCGCGGCCGCGAATAATCTCCAGCAAATTGCATATAGCTGGGACTTTTCTGCGCGTCTCGCGCTGACGCATTCTTGCAAAATCACACATATCGAAAGTGCAGTCTCACGAGCCCCTCAGAGACACACGAGAGCGCAGTTTCAACTGGTTCAGACGAGGCTGGCGTCGCGGGAATTGGGCATTGCGGGCGCGAATCTAAGCCACGTGCAGAGTCAAAAGGGTCGCAAAGCTCATGACTTTGGACCATTTCTGCATCTGAAGCTGTACAATTGTCAATGGAATTCCATTAATTCGCATTGAAATGCACCGCCCAATTCATCATTCGCCATATCGCATTTCATCGCGATCAAGTAATGTGTGTCGCTTTTCATTTTCTCCACACTAACTCTTATGTGAGTCTTATTGACAATCCTGATCGACACATTAATCATCTCGCTGATTATGAATGGTGTTTATCGAGATATATTTCTTATGAGTTATTATATCTGCTTGGTGGATAAAAAGAACTCTTAATTATGTAATGACCAACACTCGAGGGGACGTATTGTGACTAACAATGTATCAGCGAATTGAGAACAGTGCCCGGATCTGTTTTTAGCAAGGTGACAAAGTCAAGACAAGTGGCAAAGTCAAGAGAAGAAGTTGTTCTAATTTCTCAATGCAGTCGCACTACTTCGAAATATAGAAATTACACTTAAACACTTTAAATTGTACACTTTATTAACTAGAAGAAGTAATGTGAAATGATTATTTCAACAAAGCTTTTTCCCATCAGTTCCACAATGAGATTTTTCCACAGACTCTCTCTGGATGTCTCTCTGAGCTTCACAAATCTCTTCTTCCTCTGCAGCTTATCTACTGGCGCTTCTGGCACTCTCATTTGAAATTGCAGTACAGCGAATTCCATTTGTCATTTGGAAAGAAATCTTCAAATTAGGAGAATTCACATGAGTTTAGACAAAAAGTCACTCAGAGGTCAATTCAAATGATATTCGACGAAGACACATGACATGGAATTCTGTGCGGAAGTGTATTAGGAATGACATTTCCATCATTCTATGCCTTCTCCATCCACTTTTTCTCTTGGCGATACAGTCTGAGGGAATCTGGGGAATTTGCCTTTTCCTCATCATATCGAGAATTGCGATGTTGTGAAATTTGGTCGTGATGGAAAAAAGACACTGTGGGCTAAAAATACATATACTTATTTGCCTGTTTTCTGCAAGATAACATTAATTTTCCGGATTTTGTTTTGCCGGCACATCCACATATAATATATTACGCGAATGCCGACTGGCGCGCACACTTTTCCCGGGGTGGAAAACGAGGAGCCCTTTAATCTCGAGAGGATTCAATTATATTTGCATCTCGCAGTACATCGTGTAAACATCTTTTGTGACTCTTGTGCCAGAGTTGGGAGGGAAAGTGAGAGGGAGGCGCGCAATCGGGCCAAATGTAAAATGTGTCACGTCTTCTCATTCATGGTGCGCTCTTGCAGTGCGAAAGTGCCTCAGCAATTCAATTATTAATCCCGTCGATTTGCAGGTGAAGTCAAGTGTTATGCTGTCGCGCTGTTGCAATATCGCGATGTATTAATCGCTTTTGATGCCACCAGTCGAACGTGCAACTTGTGTCGGAGTGGCAGAGAAAATCCCATCATTTAGCACTGCAATACTGGAGGACCTCGCGAATTAATCAACCTCGCATTCGCAGTCAAATATACTTCACATTTGCCGCCCAATGTGATCACATAAATTGCACACGCCGAGCATTTTTTCTTTATTTTTTGACGCCAAGGGGCAGATATTACGGTCGGAAGCGGTGTACAGCTTTATACGGAAGTAATAGGAATTGCAAGTGGTGAAATATTCAGATTATTTGCATTGCAAAAAGCTTCGATTTCAACAAATTGAGGCATTTTGCTTGGAAAAATCTATTTACTGCTTTTCTAGGTTATGTTATTGAATTAAAACCGATTTTAGTGATTAAAAAACCCTCAAAATCATTAAATTTATGTTTAACCGGAGAATCTTTCTTTTTTCCTCGGCAGAGTTGAGCATTTGTGTTCGAAAAACTTAAGATTTGTCATATTTCAGTAGTAGAAAACAGCTTACAATCTGAAATCTAAGCATTTCAGGAGCTTAAACTTCTTGAGACGGAAAAAGCGATGGAAAATGTCTTTAAAGGTGCTGCACAGAAACTGTGAGAGTATATGAAAGTGGTGTACATTATTCAGTCATATTATCTCCCCCTTGTTTCACACTAAACATGTTTCTGCAATTAGTCTGCGCGAAATTGTCAAAGGATTGAAATTGAATTCTCCTCTCTGTTTTTTTTGGCGCCAAAACTGTGGCGCTCTATTAAATCCACGCATTGCGTCCAATTTATCATGGACTGTCTCAATTAATCAGACAATTTCTCTGTGCCTAAAAAAGGCTAATAAATTTCAAATTGCCTCTTTTTTCCGATCTAACAATCTGATTTGGCTCACATGCGACACACTGTCGGGGCAAGAAATATTGACACAGGATATGAATTACACCTTTTCAATCATGTTCTCCAATTTCCCGCTGTGAAAACCGCGCACATGATTGTGATGAATGTTCTTCGGGAGAGTCCGACAAACAAGCGTGAAGATTACACTGTCCACTCATGTTGCGAAGCATCGTGCAGACTTATTGGCAAGAATGCATCTTGGTGAGTGGATTAAGGATGCGACTCGCGTAATTGATGCCATTTGGCTGGTGGTGAGACCAGTTTGACGCCCGGAAAAGTGTGTCTGTTGTTAAAGACACGAACTTAATGGCAAATTAGGCGAGAAATTGCAGCAATTAATCTCCGCGGCGTGACTGCATATGCCAAAGTGGTGCAGCATTAAATAATATTCACACACCATATGCACAGATATTGTTATGTAAACGGCGACAGATCAATAAAAATGGCACTAATTCCATTCCTAAATTATGTTTACTTTTGCATAAATCTCAATAAATTGCCAACGCTAAGCAACATGTCTCAACTACGCATTCAATTGTATGCCTCGTGAGTTAGTGAAAGAGAGCAGACAAGTCGACAAATTATAAATTATGTTGTTGCCGCTGATGGAATTAGAGCAATACATTTATGTACGTTTACGTCGATTGCGTTAAATATTTACTCCGCAACTCGCGTCCATTTCATGCGATGCGCCATTCATGTCTCCACCGCGATGCAAGCTTTTCTCTCTGCCCAAAGGAAGTTATGTATGCATGTCCCTCTATCTTTTTTTTTTGCTGGCGCAACACTCAAAGTCAGTCAAGTACATCGACTTGGCGTATTTCTTTTGCCCCGTCGAGCTGCGCTCTGGCATTTGCAATTGCCTCAGCTGCAGAGATCTTCCCTCGCATGACAAATAATTTGTCTCAAGGGAAAATGAATACAAGTGAAAACACACACAGTCAGACCAAAAGTGGAAAAATCTCCATAGTTAGAGCTTGCAATTAAAATTCCTCACCATAAATTAGTCGCCATAGCATCAAATATGATAAATTTATACCACTGAGTTTGCCACACACTTTTTTTTCTCTACTTCTCTTCGTCACCACAATTGCACATTGCATTTCAACTATGGCAGGCGAAAATATGCTCCTTTTCTTCTCACCACGGTCAATTGGATTTGTCTGAAAGCGCTGCATGAATGTAAACAACATTGAAAAACTGACGAGCAACATATCTGGGGAAAATTCACCCTCGGAAAAATACACCCTGCAACTTTTCCTTCCTCCAGCATTTGCGTCACATCCCAGAGGAGTGAACTGAGCTTTCCCGAGTGCGGAAAAAGTATACGGGAGAAATTGCCTGAATTCTGCCAGTGGTGGAAAATTTTCACGGAAAACGTGAACACCAAACTAACTTTTCATTACGCAGTGAAAGAGAGAGAGAAGGAGAGATTCCCCATCGGCAAAGTGTTGTAAGCATACTTGTCGATTCTCATGCGTCGCTCGTGCAAGACAAATTTTCCCATTTAGCAACTTTCCTCCACTTCCACCATCTTCACCATCGCCAAGGGAGATTAATTCAATCGCTGACACTTTTATTTGCCCAGAGATCATCACAAATTGACGCTCAATTATACTGTCATTAAGTGATTTTTTCTCTCCCTCTCGCGGACTCTCTTGCATTTCAATTACAAGTCATAAGTCTCGTTATTGCATGAGTTCGCACATTGATCTACATTTTATTGAAAATTTATGCATAGAATATGCAATTTCGATATTGCGCGAGATTATGAAGGCAATAGTATATAGTGAAATTCTCGAAATTCAACCACTGACTTCTCGCCTTCCGATCTGGAAAATTGCCTTTTTGACGCCACAAAATATTGCGGCACTTTTTTGCATTTTAATCACTGCACAAAATTACCATAGATAGAGAGAAAATCTACTCCTGAATTTGATTGCAATTAGCATCGTGTTTGTGATGGTAAATTTATTGAATTTCTTTCGAAGAAGAAAACTTATTAAATATCCATTTCGCTCTCAAATTGCTTAGAGCAAGTTTCGAGTTTGTTGTGCAAACTTCAATAAACTAGATAGAGTTTATTCCATTCTTATTATCCCATCTTGCTGAGCAGAAGCAAACTTTGCGGGGGAATAAGTGAGATTTTTGGGGCTCTTCTCACCCCCAATTTCCCAGCCGTTCTTGGGCGATCGTTAGCGGTTGCGCAACGGCGGACTTCTCCCCCGGAGCAAGATCAATGCGTCCGGCGATCGGTGCAGGTGACACGCGGCTGAGAGCAAAAGGTGTGGTCGCCAAAGTCACCGTCTGCAGCCCAGACGTCCAATGCAGTTGACTATATAAGGAGGCCCAATCTGTGTCAGTCCCATCAAAATCAGTCCAGCTCGTGATCAGTGCAGTGCCGCGAATCTGCGTCTCACTCTTTTAACAGTCTGTGCACCGAAAACCCGTGCAAAGATGCTGAAGGTATTCGTCAATTATCGAAGAGAGCAAAAGAGAAAAATTTGGGGCCACATGGAAAGTCTCTCACTGAAGAGGCTGAAGATCAAGGGATTAATAACGCGTGTGAAATGTGTAACAAATTAAATCTGGCGCGAGGAGCGCAATTGTGCCAAAAACATTTTCCGAGGAAAAATCAAAATAATCACATCTCGCGCGCACGATGTTGTTCGCAAGAAGATGAGTCTCGGCAATTGTTTATTTGCTCACTGGTGAATCTGACATGAATGTTTGCGAGATTGGTCTTCATTTGATGTTCCGCCGCACCCTCAACAATCTGATAGACTCTCATTAATGCAATTAAATCCCACTTAATGCGCGTAAACGCTTTTTTAATGGTCCTCATGTGCGGAGGTGTTTTTGTGGTTGGTTGGGAAACAGAGGCTAAACAATTGGCACAAATTGAAATTCTCCAACGATCCAATTTACACCATTTTCCGCCTGGCAATTCAGTTAAGATTCAACGTGGAAATTGCGGTGGTTCTCCCAACTATGCCATCGTGCCATCTTTGCGCTCAAAAACACCCTCAATTGAGAATGTAATCCATTTACCAATTTCCCAACCATTTTGCGCTCTTTCTTCAATCACCAACTCTGAAATCATCTCGAGCGCCAAAAGACGGTTTCTGTATGAAATTGTTCTATTTTCGGGCTGACATGATATGAATGGTGGCCTAAAAACACGCGGATGGGCATCTCTGCAGTGACGTGAGAGTTGAAATTTCCATGAATTGCAAAAAGGAAGCCCGCCCATTATCATCAATGTTAAATGCAGCTTCTCATGCTGCTGGTTATTTATAACTAACAGAAGTTTTCTCCACATTTTCCGCCCAATCCTCCGTTCGTGGTCACAATTTGAGGCTTCCTGTCTCGTCCTGCTCGCCGTTGCCGTGTCGGTGAATGCAGTAGCAATTGGAGTTGCAGCTCCGGCAGCAGTGTTGAAGGTAAGACGCTGAGAAGTATGGAAAACTGCTCCTTTTCCTCCTTCGCATGGCGCATCTCGAGGAATCTCTCGATTTCCCTAGCGCTCTCGTCTCTCGAGCGTCACTTGAGCGAGTTTTGAAGCGAAAGTCTGCAGCAAAAGCACTCAAGAATATCTCTTCCTTTCCACCTGCACACAGACCGAAGAATACGACGCTCACCCTCAGTACTCATTCTCCTATGACGTGAAAGATGCCATTACGGGTGACAACAAGAATCAACATGAGACACGCGACGGAGACGTCGTCCAGGGACAGTATTCACTTATCGAGCCAGACGGCACTCGCAGGACTGTGGATTACACGGGTGAGTGAGAGAGAGAGTGATAATGGATAAGAGCGTCGGCAAACGCCCTCAGTTATGAAAATTCTTACCCATCGCAAATGGGAGGTGAAAAAAAAAGTTGAATGTCATTAAATTTACATACACGTGTGCTCAGCTAAAACAGTCATGCAATAGTGTGGTAAATAGCCTCACAATAATTACAATAATTACAGGAATTGACGGCAGCATAATTAACATTTCAAATTATCCTCCGCTTTGCGTATTATCATTTTAATACCCACTTAATGTACGTAATTAATTATTTGGTGAGAGATTGACAAAATACCTACCTTAATCACACGCAAAACCCATCGATTACTTCCACTAAAGGCCAATATTTGATTTGTAAGACGCAGTGGAGGCGCCTGGTGAAAGCTCTCTCAAGCACAAAAAATGGAATTTGCCGTTTATCACCCCCGATGATAAAATATATTTTTAGTTCACTCAGCATTTCATTAATCAGTTATGGTAACACGAAATTCAATTCTTCCTCAAAACATGCAAGAATGAAAGATAAATTCTCGTCTTCTAATCTTCAATTCAGGGTAATTTTCGTGCCGGGACACAAAGAGGTGGAAAACTATATTGTTCTGCTGTAGAGTAATTTGCATTCAAAACGAAATTCTCCGGAGATTCACTCAAGTGTGACTTGCAAATTTTCATCCACACACAAAAGACTCCTTCTTTCGTTGGTTGCGGAAGGAAATGAGTTTTAAAAAAATTTCGATGAAATTTCACTAAATCTTCCAAATTGCTTAATTAGTCATTCAATTGCGCTTCGCATTTGAATAATGCGGCATGGAAATTGCATTAAGTGCTTGTGTTTTGGGACATTCTGTGCCGCAAGTGTTGAGAGATTCACTCAGCTGAGTGTGGCACGAATGTTTGCTAATTCTTCTGCCATATTTGCTGCATTTTCGGGGGAAAATGCAAACCACTGAAATGGGCTTGATTGACATAACATACACCAAATGCAGCACTGGCATAATTAGGCGCGAATAAGCAGTGTCGCTCTTGCTTTGCAGCTGACCCAATCAATGGTTTCAATGCTGTGGTGACCAAAACAGCTGGAGAGCACATCGTGAAAGCCGTGGCGCCCGCCGTCGCGGTTGCACACGCCCCAGTCGCCGTGGCCCACGCTCCCGTCGCCGTGGCGCACGCCCCCGTGGCCGTGGCCCATCACGCGCCTGCCATCGTGACCCACGCCGCCCCGGCGTACTACTCCTCGCCGGCCGTCGTCCATCACGCGCCCAGCGTCTTCGCGCATCACGTGGCGGCACCCGTCGTGGCCCACCACGCTCCCGCCCTGCTGTCGCACGCGCCCCTCTACTCCGCCGCCTACCTGCACCACTAAGCCCCCCTTCGTGACCTTCCACCTCCGCCCCGCAACCCCACGAAGCTCCGTCTCACCATTGGCGACAGGCAAGGCGTGTGCGAACCGCACTTGTGTACATAATACATTGCAAATAAATTGTTTCAACTTCTCACAATGTGTCCACATTGCAATCAAGTGGCAGACAATTCCACGGCGGAAGTCAAGACGTCACGGCATGAGACGAAGACGTATTAAATCTCACTGGACAAGAGGTTGCTAATATAGATTCTGAATGTCACCGGGATTTTGCGTCTCAAGTTCAATTGAAGATTTATGCTCAAAATGATAGACTTGAGATTTCAGTGCAGGATTTGAAGAAAGGGCGGAAAATGAGGGAGAAAAATATATTTTAAGTGTCAAATTGTCGCCTCGAGAGAAGTTTAAGTTCAGAACATTACATTTTAGAGCATTAGGACAATATTTTTTTAAGACTTCAAGACAAAATAAAAATCTGTGTTTAAATACAGAAATTAGAAGATTTTATGTACAAAAATTAGGACGTTTTTCCAGTTCCATGAACGTTTTTAACGTAAAACCTTGCGTAAAACCCTAAATATCCGATTAAAGATTAAGTATTTAAGCAAAGTTGTTTATTAATTGGTGTTTTAAAGCCTTTCAGATGTGAAATTCAATTTCCGCTTTTTCAAAATTGTGCACAGTAATTTAATATATAAATTTAACACTGCATCCCTAATATTAGCAACCCCTTGTCACTGGAGGATTCCCAGAGGATTTGCCCAGATTTTTCTTACACCCAATAAAATAAAACAACAACATTCCTTCTGACAAACCATTAAAGCTGTACAGACAATAATTCTACTGGAAATTCATCCCTTGTTAGATTTCCTTCAGATATTCTTGCAGGAAATGACAATTTAAAGTTAATCATTAAAGTGCTCATGTTGTGTGAAAGAGAATATCTTCAGAACATCTTGTCTTACAATAAAAACAACAGATTTCACAGACATTTTTGTATTATTACAACCTCTCGGCGATGCACATGACATTTGCATTCACATCGCGAAATGCAATTCTGGGGTGGGAAGAAACTTCTCATAAAAAGCTTCCTCCACTCTTGCAATACATTCTCGATTAATCACTGACAAGTTTTCAATTTCAAATATCAATGGAAGAGACAAGACGGAGAGGGTGAAAGAGGCGTCAGAATTTGCAGAAAATTGATCATAATAAAATTTCCCATGAGAAGCTTCACTGTGGAAAATTCAGTGTGAGCAAATGATTTATGACACGTGTTACTTTGCTGATTTGAAATTCCTGCAGACTCTTCCAATTAGCCAAGTTCTGAAAATATCTGGAGCATAAGATGCTCTTTTCGTGTTCTTCAGCTCAATTATTACTTTTTTTTATATCATTGATCCTGCAGAAAGTTGAAATGATGTTTGTGGATCGAAAACCTCAACATTAACTTTCTGTGACGCCACAATTTCAACATTTTTGGGGTAGAAATCGATAAGGTGTTGACTTTAGAGCCTCTCGAGGTGATGATTTTGAGAAGGTTTCGCGCACAAAAGAATACATAACACATGAAATTTTATAATATTTCCATGTATGTTTGATTTGTTTACTCTTACACACTCAATCTTGTACAATCATTGCATATTTGCTGTCAAACACAGAGTCGAATGTTGGGACATTTTCCCTCAGTTTACGACATTCTGTGTATCTAAGTCCAAAATCATGGGAGTTCATCAATAAAATAAAACTAAATTCTGCCCTCACGGGTCAAAGGGTAGAAAATGTCACCCTTATTTGAATAGAGTCCCGAAATGTGGCACAAAGCAAGTCCAAAGCTTTGCTATTAAGCAAACAACGGTCAATAAAATAAAACACAATCATTTGGTGATCACGAATTATGAGGGTATTTGAGAACGTCTTACCATTTATTATTCAAATTCCATCGATTTTATGCGCTTTCAGCTCAATATTCTCGCAATCAGAATTCCAGATTGAAAGGGAAATCCAAAATTTCACTCGTGATTGGATTCCTCACACAATAAGCGGGCGGATTTTGTGGGGGAGTTGTTGTTACTGAGGGTGTTTTTAAATATGTGCAATAAATATTCATCAGTTAAGTTCGCCGTACACAAAAAAAAATTATGTACACAATCCCGAGCTTTTTGGGAGAAAAATCCATCATTCTATTCAAGCATGAATGTGCAGTATTTCATCATAAAATTAAACTACAGAAGCTCTAGCACACAAATCTTATAATAGGATTCATGACGCCAGTTCTGCCAAATATCTAGGCGATATTCAGCCCAATTGGGAGGAAAAGGACTAAGTAAAGAGAAAGAAGAGTCAACAGAGTCAAAAGCCTCTTTTAGCTGAATTCCGTGATCGATTTAGAGGAGCTCTAAAGTGGGCGATAACGTGAAATTGTGATATTTTTGCTGAATTCTCCGGCTCACCCTCGAGCATCTCGCAGTCAGTGAAATTTGATTTTCTGAATTGACTTCGATTCTCTGTGCGGTTTCCCATTCTCAAGCCCCATTCCGCCGCCCCCCCCCGAATTGCCGGGTATTGTTGTGTATCTTCCGGTGAGGTGGTTTCGCCGCACGGCAAAAAGAGCCACTGTTTGCCATGGAGCGGAAGTCGCATATTTGTGCGGCTAAGGATTTTCGTCTATCAACAACTTGAGGCCAAAATCATCGTTCTACTTTTTTTTCTGATATTGCCCCTCGAAGTCACTTATAGATTCACTATAGCATTTCAGCCCAAGATATTCGACAACTCTGCCGTTTGAATATATGAATCAATTGATTTTTATGTCCTTTGATCTCTCGCCTTATTTCCGTCCATATTGTCCCGGAAAATATATTTCCATTGTGGAATGAAATCTGGGCCAGCGAAGAGGGAAGTTTTCATCTGTCTGGCATTCAATTAAAGGCCCTCGTCTCCTGACAACCCGCTCAAAGCCAAATTTGTGGCTTTTGCGGAAAGTTGCAGTGTAAACTTAAGCATCAGGAGCCGCGCTCGTCAGAAGCTCTCAAAATATTTTCCTTTTTTGCCATGATGAGTTCGAAATTTTCTCCCACGAAAAGAGAAAATAACTATTTCACCCCACTCTTTCGCGCTAATTAATTAAACTACTCTCATTCTCTCTACGGCAGCTAAAAATTCCCCAGATGACGTTAAATATTCCATACAGAGTTTCAGTGCTTCAGCGCGAGTTCCCTTTTTCCGGCAAACCATCCGCAGGGATAAAGTTTCGCTATTGAGCGATGAGAACCACTTTTAATCGATTTTAAGCCACGGGTGGGCAGGAGAAAGGCCCAAAATAAAGTGAAAATCAGCCAAGTTGAGAACAGAGCTTCGCCCACAGGCCAATCAATTTGTGATGTCATCGTGTTCGCAGTTCGTTATCAAACATAATTTGTCTCTTCACTCGCCGAAATGAACGTGAACTTGGCCGGATTTCTCATTGACGGCGTGGCAAATTAATTGATTTTAGAGAAGAAAGATTGAAAGGACTAAATTTAGCGTCAACAAACTTGCTCTCCGAAGGACACATTACAAGGATTTTTCACTTTGAAAGTCAATAACTGTGAATTTCCCGCGAATATGGAGTGAAAACAACATAGACACATTCCCTCGGGCTTTTCTGGAGCAATATTAGAGCGCAGCGACTTTCTCCTCTGTGAGGAAATTCCACATTTTTCTCATATATGCAAAAGCCCTACAAATTGCACTCACGCGGAGCAATTAAAAGGGGTGAAAATATTACCTTTGTCACTCCATTTAAATCACATTTCACATGGCATGATGGAATTTCTTGGAACAAGCATCTCATCAGAGTCACGAAACTTTTCCCGCAAATGCAAATTTCCCGGGCTGTACAATTAAGTACATTTTCCCCAAGTCTCTCCTTTGGCTCTCCCTCTCCGTCTCTGGTGTGTGTGTCATTTAATTAAATTCATGCTGAGCTTTCGGTAATCCTCAATTAAATGCACATGCCCGTGAACACATGACGACGAGTGACGCAAGTCCATTGGCGAGAGGTGTTGGAAAATTTAACTACATATATTGGCAGGGGGAGAGAGCTTTGAGTGCAAAAACCGCGCTGTATAGCCATGAAATTTGCAGCTTTTGTCGTATCTGGAATGTGTTGTTGCCACTTCGCAACCCTGCGAGCGCGTGAAAGTAGACCTGTGGCACGTTTTTCATTGAAATTTTATTAGCGCGTCTTCGACAGTGTGATTTTCACGATTTTGGCAGGAAGATTGGCAGGAGAAGCTTTTGTTGGAATTCTGTAAAATACAATTTTATATGGGGTGGAATTTCACTCCTTCTTCTCCCCCTTTTTGGTCGCCCCATCCGGAGGATTCTCACATGAATGTTTCTCGCCTTTTGTGTTGGCTGGAAAACGATTCGTGGACGATAGAGGAATTTAATGTTGAAATGAATCATTTTCTGAATTGCGGTTGCGACATAATACCCTTGGCAATATCACTCAAATAGCAATTCTGTCAAGTGTAATATTTTTGTGTACATTTTTCACTGAATATAATGCAATAATCAGGGAGATTGTGGTAAACTTGTGTCATGACAGAGCTTCAGACGGAAGGAAAGAATGATATATTTGGGTCATAAAGACGTGAATGGCAGAGAATTTATAGTTTATTATTTTGCTGAAGAAAGGACGTTCATTGCAAATTGAATCTCTGCATTGTGCTTTGTAATTGCAAATAATGCAATTTGCTCATACAATTGGTCATCATCATGAAAATCATAAATCCAAGGGATATTAAAGCCTTTCACATGACTTTTTCTCCCCCTTCTGTTGGCTTCTCTGCTCGAGGAAGCACGTGAAAACATCGAATGAATGGCAGCAAATGTGCAATTCACTCACCATCCAACCGGGTGAAATCCGCAGGAAATGATTGACATGGTACAATTGCTCGTCCCGATTGCGGTGCGTCCTGCGGGATGCCAAAATAAGCGGAGGCGGATTCAAATGGACACCAATTTCAAAGCACTGCAAACTACACTTCAATTTCCTCTCCTCTCCTTTTGGCCAAAAACCCCGCACTTGTCACTGGCACAAGAACTTGTGGCAAAAAAAAGCACTGCAGCTCTTTTCGCCGTCTCGACACACGCAAATTCAGGCAATGGAGAGGGTGTTTAGTGTCCTGAGCCCCGTGGGAGCGCGACTTTTGGAGCTTTCGCAAGCACGTGCGCTGCTGCGGCGCAGCTCTGGGCAGCGGTGTGTGGAGAGAGCTTTCGGGGAAATCCGATCTCGGCCGTGGCACGGGTTCAACTGAGGCGCCGTCGCCGACGCCGTGAGCCGGGAGTGAATTAGAATTTTGAATTTGCACTGGGAAGATGGATGCGCAGTGAGGGGGACA